GGGGGGGCATTATGGTTTATAATGGCAAATGATACTTTGAATATTACATTTTGAGCCAGCCCTACCCCCAATGGCTGTAGGGTGGGGCCCTTGTTTAGAATCAGAGATGCTAGTTTCAAATACTTTTTAGTCTTAAATCTGTATGCTAGATATTGAATAAGGTGGTTTTATTGTTTTTTGTCACTTTGAATAATAATTCTGTTCATGTTAAAAACAAAACCAACTCTCTGTATAAATATATCAGGTGACCGTTAAGGCCCATGGGCCTCTTGTTTATCTTATAATCCTGTGAATGTCACAATCTGTAGTCTAGACATTTCACTAATAATCCTGTAAATGTCGCACAATCTGTAGTCTAGACATTTTACTTATAATCATGTGAATGTCCCACAATCTGTAGTCTAGACATTTTACATATAATCCTGTAAATGTCACACAATCTGTAGTGTAGACATTTTACTTATAATCCTGTGAATGTCACACAGTCTGTAGTCTAGACATTTTACATATAATCCTGTGAATGTCACACAGTCTGTAGTCTAGACATTTTACTTATAATCATGTGAATGTCACACAATCTGTAGTCTAGACATTTTACTTATATTCCTGTGAATGTCACACAATCTGTAGTTGATTTGTAATCATGATAAGTTTCCTTTGTCTCTGATTTCCATGTCACTGTCATGGTAACTAGATACACTAGTTGTTTGGTTACAGGAGTCACACACTGCTGTACTGTAGTAGTGCGACTTTGTTGCTATCCCATGTATCAAACACTGCCCACAGGACATCCTCCCTGTCTATACCTACAGCCCATGTACGGCCTGTGTCTGTGTGTATGACCCTGAGGAACTCACCACCTCCACTGATGAGTAGGACCCTGCGGTTGATACAGTCCCCTATGATCAGGTTCCCAACACTGTCATACACCACACCCCAGGGGTTAAATGGTTGACCTCCTGTTTGTGGTGTTGGTTTATATGTACTGGGGATGTCACCTCTATATACAAACAGCTCCTTGAAATTAGTGTCCATCACAACAACATGTCGTTTTCCATCACCACCATCACTTTCACTACTGAAATCAGCGACTGCCACATTGTGAGTGACAGGACACTCTGAGATCCTGTGTGGTGTACACACTAATGGTTTCCCAGTCCCTTTAGTCATTGTAGTACACACCATTTTACCATCTGTGGTAAATTTGGAGATGTGTTTGGGCATCCCTACAATGACATGGGTATTGGCTGTAACACATATACACCTGGGTTCCTCCTTGGTACTGAATCTGTGTGTCAGTCGTCCTGATACCAGCTCCATGATGTTGTTTTTATAATCACAGACCCACAGTGTGTGTGTGGTGGGTGACAGACTGATGTTATAGATATAGTCATTGTGTGTGATCTCCTGTATTACTTTACCCTTCCTGTCCAGGAGAGTTAATGTGTCACCACTGGCCCTGGTCCACATCTGACCATCAGTGGTGGGACATATAGAACCAATGTGACATGGAGACCTCCATTCCTCCACTACCTTGGTCTGTGGCAGTAGTTTGTATGTTGTCACTGCTTTCTTCACTTTTGCTCCTGACCGTTGTTGTTGTGTAGAGGGTTGTCCCAGATCATCAGATGTTGAGACTGACCAATCCTGGTCAGTTAAAGTTTGATCTTGACCTGAGGTGGTAACTTTGCCAAAGGCTTGTTTCAAGTGATCTTGAGAATTTTCATTTGGAGTGAAGTTGGCAGTACCCAGGACAGGTTTTACAGGGAGACTGTGTGTAGGAGAGTGGATCTCACAAAATGTATCATAAATCTGTATGTGTGAACCACGCTGGAGAGCTGCTTTACACTCCTGAATTTGTTGTTTGAGTTGCTTCTCGTACATCTCCAGGTCCTGTTTGTATTTCTTTATCAGCTTGGTATTATCCTCTTCCATTTTGTGGTAAAGAGAGAGTGTCTGTTCTGTAAGCATGTCCAGTTCTTGTTTTAATTTATTTGTTTGCATTGTTAATTTTTGTGACAGCTTCTCAAAAGTACTGGTGTTGTCTTTAAGGAGCGTATCAGTAGATTTGATATGTTTCCCAATTTCTTCAAGGTCATTTTTTTCTGTTCTGTCTATGAAGTTTTTAATGTCTGGTTCTTTCTGTGGAGTGATTTCACTTATCTCACATACAATGTGACCTTTGTGAACAGAAGAAAGGCATTTTGGACAGACCGGTTCACGACATTTTTCACAGAAAAAGTCCAGTTGTCTCCCCTTATGATAACTACAGGTCGTTTGACCTTTCATTCGGAGAGGCATTTGGCTTTTAGGGGTTGCCATTTTGATGAAGAGCTCAATTATTTGTTGATATCTTGAAGATGTTTGTTTTTCTTATATGCACATATCATTATCAGTTAACACTGTCACACATATTGTTTAATGTAAAGGAATAAAAACGTCGCTGTCCAATCCAGTGGTATATGTTTGTAAATTAACGTATAGTAATGTAAAAACACTGTAAAATAACTACCTCACGATCACTGATGTCACAGGGTTACTGTGATGATGAATCCAGGTTTACCGTTCCACACTTCAGATTGTTCACTTACATGGTCCATATTTATCCTGCCCTGGGATTCACGATCACATGATGAACTTCCCTCTGTCTTTGTTGAATAATCTGTCACTTTCCAGCTGACATTGTAAAAGTTTTGATCAAACTTCAAGTCCCATGATGATGTTTGGCTAAATTTCCTAATTCTTCTGAAAGGTAAATAATTTTAACACATTTGTGCTCCGGGACACCCATCAACTGCAACGAGTAGATCTACCTGTTTAGACCTGCAGGTGTGCAGACTATATAACTTCCCTGTTGAACTAGGTTACCGACAGACAAACAGTGATAATAAAGACATAGACGGTGTAGTAGGTCAGTGTAGGTTGTGTTTATAAACCGTAGCATTTACATACCTGGTGTGTATTGTCTAAAATGTATGTGTATTCAGTAATGTGATACCTGTACCTAAGGTAGATATACCTGTGTATTTGGTAATAGACATTTCTCATTTTGAGGCAGACCTAGCACGGAGTCAGAGACGGACACTGAGAGTAGTAAATTCAGGGAACATCTCAAAATCTTTCTTCATTTCATCTGTATTAAGGAGGCTCCACCTTTTCGCAATTAACCAGCAGAATTCAATGAAAGTTTCACATAATGGTTATGTCACTATGTAGAGATGATTTTATGAAAATCTAAGGATTCTGATAAACTGGGGGTTTTTTTTATGAAAAATACAGAAAAAAACCACATAGTTTCATACAAAAAGAGTGAAAATTTGAACCAAATATTTGACATTTTACAATAATTTTGATTGCGATGAGAGTTGTCTACCTTGAAAAAAATCGGAACTTTTGCAGAGGGATAGAATTTATACAATGACAGCTATTTTCTTTACTATACCAAAAACGACGGATATAAATTAAATTACTATATCAAATTGTCAATTTACAGTTCTTTTACGGAATAATATTTCTCTCAATCATGTACACGTTGGACATCATTCCATAGGCCGCTTATGCATGGTATATTTAAATATCAGGTACATATGTAATCATAGGCTATCACATGGTATGCCGTTATCACGTGCACGCACATGCACTTCGTTTTATAGGGATTTTGATATTTTACAAACCACTATTTGTGAAATGATTTATTTGACAGAGCGTAACTCGCTCGACAACAAAACTCATTGCGACTCCGAGCTTGTACAGGTGAGGTCGGTAAACAAAACACATCAGTCTGCATTCCATGCGCTTCTTAAAGTCGTCTGATGTTACATGCATGTCAGTGCCTTCCCATGAGTTAATTAATGTCTTTGTATCATCAGCTTTATATCTGAAGTACGTGTGATTACACATTTCCCAGTGAAGTCTTGATATCGGGTGTTGACATATCATCGTCACACACGTGTAAAATTGTTTACCCGGTGTTACTATAATTTTGCTATACGGAAATGACGACACCAAAATACGACAAGAAAAACATGTATTACGAAGGGTGTGAAATCCTTAAGGATTCCTGTCGCCCTGCTTGCGACAAAAACACTAGAGAATTATCATTTAGTGTTCCTTACTTGTTACCTACAGTTACATCCCCTGATTTTCATAACAATTGATAAACTTCTCCTGGCTGATCTCACCCTACCGGGATTTTTTCAGAAAACATATTTTTTTTAAATAACAGAAATTATCCCTATAACAGTTTTCTAAGAAAAACATTTAAATGATCCCCCCCCCCCCCCCCCTCATTTTTAGTGGGTCGGTCATGCAGGAAACAGCAAATAATTGCAAATACATATTGATATAGTCCGAAGTTCTCGTAAATATTCTGATTTTCACCTATTTATCTCGAAAATGTTTATCTAAAAACACACGTAACTCTTTCTAGACAAATTCAATTAAAAAGAGCGCGCTAAGATCTTTAGAGGAACACGTTCAAATGTATGATATACTTTAATTTCTGAATGCGCGGTTTTCTAAATCACGTTTCTCAAGAGACAACTCAGTCTCAAGTAGCTTTATTTCAGATATTTTTGTTTTTTTAATATGACGTAGAATTTGTACAACCCAACTCTCCATCAGAAAAGGATAATAGGTGGTGGTAGTTATTTAGGAAATAGATAGACTTGATATTCTATCCCAGAGAAAGCATTATGGCTAAAAGTTCAAGAGAGACCATTTGTGATAGCTTTTTTTTTTTTTTTTTTATTTTTTTGACGTTGGAAGTATTAGCTGCTTTCTTCATTTCGTAAATTGATGTTTGTAATTTACCAGACCACAACAAAGCACTGAAAAAACTGGATTGGAAGTAATAGACGAACATGGATTCCGGGAAGGATGTTATAGTATTATACGTATTAAGTTAATGATTAAATACAATTATGTTATTATTTTGATTACATGATGTCATCTTTTGTTATTGTTAAATTGTCGATGTTTAGACATTGGGTATACACAGATTTTTTATGTGTAAGCCCGTTTTTTTTCTATTGGTGCTACGCCCCTTTTTGTTGAGTAATTTTACACCTTTTTGGGGATTGGTGGCATTTTTACTGAAAATGAATCTTACACCGGGGTTCGGTGAATTTCTTTTAACTCATTTGGCGTCAGAATAATACAACAGAGGTCCCGGGTGAGATCCTTAGTGGAGACATTAACATATCAATTACCACGGTTACATACTTGCCGCAGTGAGCCACGAATTGTATAATGTGTCTCCATATGATGTTACCTGTTCGCTTACCTGTAGTCACGTACATGTGCGTGTACACACTCCGACATACCCTATACGCTACGTTCCATATAAAATTATTTTTGAAATGACCCCTGTATTTACTTGTCTGGGTCTCTGTCTCCTTGCTCCGTGCTAGGTCTACCCCAAAATGAGAAAGGTCTAATAAGACATACCTGTACAGTAGGTAGATATACTTGTAGTTTGGGTAATTATGCATACCTATTCTGTGGGTATATATACAATGTGTTTTGGGTAACAAGACATATATATATACCTGTACTGTAGGTAGATATACCAGTGTAATGAGTGGTAACTCAGGCTTTCCTCCACCACCAAAACCTGGCACGTCCTTAAATGACTTTAGCTGTTAAAAGGATTTAAAAAATAAACAAACAAAACCAAAACCTCTAATAATTTCATCTATGTACTGTGTAAAAAGTTTTAATGGTGCGCGAAACTTACTTTAGCAATATATTTACTGTCTAGAGAGTTTTGAATTAGGTTATGGTTGCATTTTTCAGATACAAGCAAAAGAAATTGTGCACTAATCACTGACTAAACTAATCACCTTTTAACAACTGGGCTCTTGAATCATATTTAATCTGTAACATCCTGAGATGAAGACAGTGCTATCAAGTTTGATCAAATGAATGTCATTTACCCATTCTCTAGGTAACCTTTATACTTACACGTTGATTAGATAAATAGTTGTTGAAATTGTTAAAAGTTTTAAACTATATTCTTGTGAGATCAAGTGGGAAGCCTGATGCTTTACAGCAAGTATAGTGCCTTGATAAAGAATTCTCAAATTTGTTAAAAAAAATGACCTTTGACCAAATTTTAAAGAGACAGGCAAAGGGAAACATTTGTTGAAAACCTTTAGAATCAGTAGTACTTAATTCAGCTTGCATTTTATCAACTTTGTTTGAAAATTTGAATTTGACCTAACTTGAAGGTATATGTGAATTACAGGAGAGCCATACAGGTCTCTTGTGCCTCTTATGTCTTCCATTGGAGTATGAACAAAACAACAACAAACCAAAAAAATGAATTTAAATAGTTATTATATTAATTAAAAGAGTTCTGTTAAATATATAATGAAGGTTAATTAATTATGTTGTTTTATTTACTAAGTCACATTTTTATTTACAGACATCCAAATCGAGATAACCTGTATGAAATAGTAACACATAAAAGGACGTTTTATATACAGGTGAGTGTCAGGTACACAAGTTTTATATACAGGTGAGTGTCAGGTACACAAGTTTGATATACAGGTGAGTGTCGGACACAAGTTTTATATACAGTGAGCGTCAGGTACACACATTTTGTATACAGGTGAGTGTCAGGTACACAAGTTTTATATACAGGTGAGTGTCAGGTACACAAGTTTTTATACAGGTGAGTGTCAGGTACACAAGTTTTATAAACAGGTGAGTGTCAGGAACACAAGTTTTATATACAGGTTAGTGTCAGGTACACACGTTTTATATACAGGTGAGCGTCAGGTACACACATTTTGTATACAGGTGAGTGTCAGGTACTCAAGTTTTTATACAGGTGAGTGTCAGGTACACAAGTTTTATAAACAGGTGAGTGTCAGGTACACCAGTTTTATATACAGGTGAGTGTCAGGTACACACGTTTTGTATACAGGTGAGTGTCAGGTACAAAAGTTTTTATACAGGTGAGTGTCAGGTACACACATTTTGTATACAGGTGAGTGTCAGGTACTCAAGTTTTTATACAGGTGAGTGTCAGGTACACAAGTTTTATAAACAGGTGAGTGTCAGGTACACAAGTTTTATATACAGTTGAGTGTCAGGGACACAAGTTTTATATACAGGTTAGTGTCAGGTACACAAGTTTTATATACAGGTGAGTGTCAGGTACACACGTTTTGTATACAGGTGAGTGTCAGGTACACAAGTTTTATACATAGGTGAGTATCAGGTACACACATTTTGTATACAGGTGAGTGTCAGGTTCCCAAGTTTTATATACAGGTGAGTGTCAGGTACACACGTTTTGTATACAGGTGAGTGTCAGGTACAAAAGTTTTTATACAGGTGAGTGTCAGGTACACACATTTTATATACAGGTGAGTGTCAGGTACACACGTTTTGTATACAGGTGAGTGTCAGGTACAAAAGTTTTTATACAGGTGAGTGTCAGGTACACACATTTTATATACAGTTGAGTTTCAGGTACACACGTTTTATATACAGGTGAGTGTCAGGTACACAAGTTTTATAAACAGGTGAGTGTCAGGTACACAAGTTTTATATACAGGTGAGTGTCAGGTACACACATTTTGTATACAGGTGAGTGTCAGGTACACAAGTTTTATACATAGGTGAGTATCAGGTACACACATTTTGTATACAGGTGAGTGTCAGGTACACACATTTTATATACAGGTGAGTGTCAGGTACACACGTTTTGTATACAGGGGAGTGTCAGGTACACACGTTTTATATACAGGTGAGTGTCAGGTACACAAATTTTATATACAGGTGAGTGTCAGGTACACACATTTTATATACAGTTGAGTTTCAGGTACACACGTTTTATATACAGGTGAGTGTCAGTTACACAGATTTTGTATACAGGTGAGTGTCAGGTACACACGTTTTGTATACAGGTGAGTGTCAGGTATACAAGTTTTATATACAGGTGAGTGTCAGGTACACAAGTTTTATACATAGGTGAGTGTCAGGTACACACATTTTGTATATAGGTGAGTGTCAGGTACACAAGTTTTATATACAGTTGAGTTTCAGGTACACACGTTTTATATACAGGTGAGTGTCAGGTACACAGATTTTGTATACAGGTGAGTGTCAGGTACACACATTTTATATACAGGTGAGTGTCAGGTACACAAGTTTTATATACAGGTGAGTGTCAGGTACACACGTTTTATATACAGGTGAGTGTCAGGTACACAAGTTGTCTCACCAATAAAGAATTCATGTGTTAAAATGAAAAAAAAGAATTATGTCAATAATTTATCGTTTATAGCATGTATATCCTGCAAAACCCATGGAGAACAACAACTCATTACTGAGTCGAAAATCAGATGAGGATAAACTTTAACCAGGACAAAAAAGGCAAATGTGGGCAATATATATGAATGGGTTTATTACCGGGCATTGGCTTATCATATGTAATCTTAGTATGTAAATTAGATCAACAACTGAAATTTTGTTCATAATGTAATGAAACTATAAAAAGACAACGGTAGATAGATGAAAGCAAATGTATTTTTTCCTAGCCCTAGACAAAGGTCAAGGTCATAAGTAGAGATCAAAAGTCAATGACGACCGACGACAGACGAACGATGGACGAACGACAGACGACGGGCGGACAACAGACGCCATGATATGACATAAGCTCACCTGGTGAGCTAATAAAGGAAAATAGTCAAATACGGGTAATTTTCTTTTTGGAAAAATGTGTTAAATCAAGGCATGTAGTTTGTCCTTAACTAGTATTTAGTACACTTCTTATGTCAAATATGGTCTGTGTATGATTATTGTTCATAATGTAATGAAACTATAAAAAGACAACGGTAGATAGATGAAAGCAAATGTAGTACTTTCCTAGCCCTAGACAAAGGTCAAGGTCATAAGTAGAGATCAAAAGTCAACTGAGATTTGTCCTGAATTAGTACAACAGTTTATTATCACAGAGGATATATATTTGAATGAAACAAAAGTCATACACAGACTTTATTTGACATAAGAAGTGTACTAAATGCTGGTTAAGGACAAACTACATGCCTTGATTTAACACATTTTTCCAAAAAGAAAATTACCCATATTTGACTATTTTCCTTTATAAGCTCACCAGTGGGCAATTTGACTATATTGCTAAAAACGACTTCTGTAGAAATATGCACAGGATATAAATCATATTTGGTCGGAAACATTCATTGGAGGTAAAGATTCCAAAATTGTACAAATGAAGGGGCTGACCCCTCCCCCCCTCTCAGGGCTGAGGGGTGGGCCCCAAAAAGGGCTAATTGGCAGTATTGCTTTAAGTGATTTTTTCTTTTAAATAAGCAATGGATATCAACCATATTTGACTCGAAGCATCCCCAGGTGGTGAACATTTAAAATTGTACAAATGGTGGGGCTGAAACCCCCAGGAGAATGAGGGGCAGACCAAAAAGTGTGATTTAGTTATATATTGCTTTAAGTGACTTTTTCTAAGAGATAGATACATGTATCAACAATATTTAGTTGGAAGTATCCCTATGTGGTGGGGATTAACAATTTTACAAAAGGACAGGCTGCTGCGGGGTCTGCTCCACCCTTGGGGACTTAACCCCTGTGTCATAACTTCGAAACAGTTGAGATTCCCACCCAAAAGCTATATATGTTATTGCTGGGCGTAAAAAAAATCTAAAACAGATATGCTACATGGATTGGGGTCTGGCCCTATCCATGGGATCTTATTTGAACAATAATATGATTGTTTAGATATCCAGGTGAGCGATACAGGCCCCCTGGGCCTCTTTTGTTACGACAGAGAAGTGAGGGGTCGGTAACTCATTCTCGATTAATAATTTCATTGCAGTGTCATTGTGGCTACGAACCCAAGTTGACGATTTCCTGAACTTATAAATATCCAGAACTTACAAAATCCAAACCAATGATTCAAAGTTCAGATCAGTCATAACTTTGCTGAAATATCCATATTTAATAAAAAATATAATTCTTTGAACTCTATTTTACTTTATAGACAGCTCAGTGACTAAATTATGTTAATCAACGGACACGAACAATGGGTATGTGATCAGTCGAGGGTACGCCCTCTGGAACCGATCCAAACATTTGTTTACAATGAAAGATTCCATACAATAGTAATATAGCAATGACAAAATTCCTCATTACGGTAATACTTGATAAAAATTGATAGTAAACCTTTACAACGATCGGTGTTGTTTTTAATCAGTGTTGTCTTGTTTCAGTGTGATAACCCAGAGGAGATGGTCAGTTGGATTGAGGTCATACAGAAAACATATGAACTAGAACCAGAAAAGTCTGTCCAGGTAAGTTTACACCTGATATACACAAAAGTCTGTCCAGGTCAGTTTACACCTGATATACACAAAAGCCTGTCCAGGTCAGTTTACACCTGATATACACAAAAGTCTGTCCAGGTAAGTTTACACCTGATATACACAAAAGTCTGTCCAGGTCAGTTCACAACTGGCATATAAAAAAGTTTGTTCAGGTAAGTTCACACCTGATATACACAAAAGTCCTACCAGGTAAGATCACACCTGACATACACAAAAGTCTGTCCAGGTAAGTTTACATCTGGCATACACAAAAGTCTGTCCAGGTAAGTTTACATCTGACATACACAAAAATCTGTCCACCTGACATACACAAAAGTCTGCCCAGGTAAGTTTACACCTGACATACACAAAAGTCTGTCCAGGTAAGTTTACATCTGGCATACACAAAAGTCTGTCAATGTAAGTTTACACCTGACATACACAAAAGTCTGTCCAGGTAAGTTTACATCTGACATACACAAAAGTCTGTCAATGTAAGTTTACACCTGACATACACAAAAGTCTGCCCAGGTAAGTTCACACCTGACATACACAAAAGTCTGCCCAGGTAAGTTTACACCTGACATACACGAAAGTCTGCCCAGGTAAGTTTACACCTGACATACACAACCGTCTGCCCAGGTAAGTTCACACCTGATATACACAAAAGTCTGTCCAGGTAAGTTCACACCTTACATAAAATACAGTGGAAATCAAGTAATCTATGATTTGCCATACAAAGTCAATGTTAAATTTGTTTTCAAAATAATGATACTTGTTCATTATTTTACAATAGATGTACTGTTTTAACAGGTTTTGTTGGCAACAAAATTATATTTGATGTATCCGTTTCAGATCACTAGACTATAGTTTAGCATGTAAGTGTAACAACTCTCTATCATCTGCCTAAACAGACAGGGACATCATTTCTGATATGTTGCAGCAATTTTGCTAAATTAACTTTTCTGGTCTAGCAAGCTAACATGTTTTTCAGCCTCAGCCCTGAACATGGATGTAGATTGGAAAATTTAAATATATTTGTGTTGTTCAGAATCAGTGACTTTTAACTCTCTTAATCATATCATGTACAAATGGTCACGGTCTCATGTTTTTAGCTCAGTGTGTTTTGTAATTATCCCTTTCACCACTGTAGACTATAATAGACTCATCCAAATCAATGCATGGTAGAGTGTACTAAAATGACATCGGGTTGAAAGGGTTAAAGAAGTATAAATAAGGTTATTAAATAAATGATATTTATTATTAAAATTATATCTCTAATAACCATATCTCTTTCATCTTGTAAATTTGCTAAATGGTTGCTAAAACTATTTGGTATATTTATAAAGAAATGGCATGCGTTCAATTTCTGCTTACAAACACACACATTTAACCAGCAATAAGCCCATGTCTGTTAATTAGCCCACCCAAGTCTATAACAGTTCAAATGAAATATTTAGAAATGCTATTTCATTGTTTTGTTATTAGTGCACCGCCTACTTTATGTTAACCCTTTCACCACTGTAGACCATATTGGACTCATCCACATCAATGCATGGTAGAGTCTACTAAAGTTAAATAGGGGTGAAAGGGTTAAGCCTCATAGGCTTATTTCAGGATAAATATGTTTTCGTCATATCGATGCTTTCGAAATAATCGTTTTGGGACTTACAGCATTATATAAAGTTTTAATGTTGGAAACAGTATATATGGTGCTATCACAGGCGCCATACCAGTGATCAAAATAGAAACGTTAAACAGCTTATAATCTCATACTCCTAGCTGAGCAAATATTTTACATAATGATTTACTGAAATTAAAATGTCCGCGAATGGTAAAACACAGGAACTGTTTGCTTAAGTCAAGCTTCGTTAATTAGCAAGCACTAATGAGGCGTCCCAGCAGCCGGCCTGTGTTTGAGGTAACATATTGGCCCTAATTTGTACAGAACTGTCACAGAAATCTAGCCAGCACTAATGAGGCGTCCCACCAGCCGGCCTGTGTTTAAGGTAACATATTGGCCCTAATTTGTACAGAACTGTCACAGAAATCCAGCCAGCATTACATACAGTCCAGTTTTGCTATAAACAAAGTAGGATGGCTTAATAAGGCTTCCATCATTGACGTGCTTAAGTTGATGTTCAGAGCGAGCATTGCTTTCTCATTTCTCAGCATTAGCAAGTTTGTTTGCAATATAAATTCAAATGGCCTTCACCTACATTCAATTTGGCAAAATGTCTAATTTTACATTTTATCTAACAGTTCAAAAGCAATGTTCACACCTTAAGTGATTGAAGCTGATTTGTCGATACAGTCAAACCTACTCATGCGACCACCTCTATTAAGAAATGACGTATGTTAAGAGATCACTTTAAAATGTTCCCTATTATAGTGATTCCTTTGTGTACCGAACTTCTATAAGACACCACCTCTATTAAAGGATCACATTTGGCAGATTTAGGTTGGTCTCTCAATACAGACTTGACCGTATTATTTTACAAAGTTTGGTGTTAGAACTTCATAATTCTTGAGTCCTGTAGCTAGCGAAGTTTGATATTATTTTATTTGTGAGGAACGGCCTGTTCCATTAGATCTGATATGTTTACACATTGTTCATACGTATTCTTGATAGCTTAAAGAAGACAGTAAGTTCTACTTTTTTGCTATTGAAATAACTTGGTTAAGCACATACAATTTTCTCACAAATTGGCTTGCAATAAAGTGGAACCTATTGTATATATTTTCCCATAATTATGACATATCATTCCAAAAAAAAAAAAAAACTACGGAAACTTGTAGTGGTGCAGAGGGTCGAAATGTCTGTTACACTGAAATAATCCTACATTTGGGGGGTTTACAATTTCATGTTTTGAATTCTACATGTAGCTTCAGGCAATTTTGTTAGTCCGACTTTTTTAATGGAAACTATCTAAAATTTGACTAGCCCTGACACAAAAATTAACTAGCACTGTGAATCAGGTTAATGGATTTTCACACCTATTTCTTGTTAATGCATGTTTCAATTACGAAAATTTGATATGTACAAGTGAATACTTTTGAAAATGTCTGTATTTTGTTTGGTTGCCTTTGTAACCCTGACACTCCTTTCAGACCAGTAAGAAGCGTCGCTATGTGTATGAATCAATGATCTAGACATCTTGATGGTGACAGGTATTGTTTATCCCGTGTTTCCATAGAAACAGCTAGTTAACATCTCACTGATTCTGTGGTTAATGGATGAAACAGAAACTGAATTTCTATGTATAGAGTAAAATGTTATGAATTGATCAAATATCTAATAATAAGAAAAATCCTTAAATTATTAACATATGAAAATGTAATAATTATGTAAAAGTCTGGTTCTTCCATAAGCTGATGCCCATAGACTCACATGTAATTAGAATTTGATCACAGAAACCGTCACGTGTGTAGTTTTTGAGCCACTTCCTACAAAATTGAAAGTGCATATGACCAAACACAATTCACTGAATTATAACCATTTTGACCATGATGAGCTTTCATACATCGTTTTTAGCAAACATGTTTCATATTTTAATATTTTTAATGATGTTATAATAAAGACATCAGTATGTTTTTGCCTTGTACGTGTGAGAATAACAGTTTCAAAAGCATATTTCGGGTAAGTTTCATCATTAAACTTGGGACTTCGTGTGTAGGTACATCATGGAAAGGAAGTACATTATGTATATTGAATACCAAACTGGAAACACCATGACCTCTATCAGCCCTTTGACGTTGACGTTATAAGTACAGAAATATCGAGAAAATATTGACAAGGTTTTCTGCTATGGACCTCGGACTAGGTTTATATCGAGATAGTGCTGTGTCAAAGCATACACAAATGAGAAAACGATGGTCTTTAATTGATGTTTGGCCTTGACCTCAAGTACTGAAAGACATGTCCAGGGGATATCTTGTCTACTGTTTTTATTTTAATTTTCGACTTCGTATGTAGGCTCATCATGAGAAAGTGCTGTGTTTTTTTACCAAAATAAGATCATCGCTACCTCTCCTGACCTTTCTGATAGAAATATACAGTCTCTTGGATATTAAACAGTTCTAGTTCTTACTATTGTTACTTCCCTTCCAAGATAACCTCTCTTATCTTATCGCAATGGATATATGCGATCAGCTATATGCACATAAAATGTATGCATTTGTTATTCACATTTCCTCCTTTGCGTTTCTCTGTTTGCCTCCCCTATCTTATCATGGGTACCTGTCCCCGTCAGTATTACCTCCCCTGACACCTCCTATGATGTTGTCTGTGTTACAACCCTAGTCATCAGAAATCTTCCTTCCCGTTATTGACAGGAGCACACTGTTATATTGGGTATCTGTCCCCATCATGATTACCTCCCCTGGCACCTCCTATGATGTTATCTGTGTTACAACCCTAGTCATCAGAAATCTTCCTTCCCGTTATTGACAGGAGCACACTGTTATATTGGGTACCTGTCCCCATTATGATTACCTCCCCTGGCACCTACTATGATGTTATCTGTGTTACAACCCCAGTGATCAGAAATCTTCCTTCCCGTTATTGACAGGAGCACACGGTTATATTGGGTCCCTGTCCCCGTCAGTATTACCTCCCCTGACACCTCCTATGATGTTGTCTGTGTTACAACCCTAGTCATCAGACATCTTCCTTCCCGTTATTGACAGGAGCACCCTGTTATATTGGGTACCTGTCCCCGTCAGTATTCCCTCCCCTGACACCTCCTATGATGTTATCTGTGTTACAACCCTAATCATCAGAAATCTTCCTTCCCGTTATTGACAGGATCACACTGTTATATTGGGTACCTGTCCCAGTCAGTATTACCTCCCCTGACACCTACTATGATGTTATTTGTGTTACAACCCTAGTCATCAGAAATCTTCCTTCTCGTTATTGACAGGAGCACACTGTTATATTGGGTACCTGTCCCGATTATGATTACCTCCCCTGGCACCTACTATGATGTTATCTGTGTTACAACCCCAGTTATCAGAAATCTTCCTTCACGTTATTGACAGGAGCACACTGTTATATTGGGTACCTTTCCCCGTCAGTATTACCTCCCCTGACACCTCCTATGATGTTGTCTGTGTTACAACCCTAGTCATCAGACATCTTCCTTCCCGTTATTGACAGGAGCACACTGTTATATTGGGTACCTGGCCCCGTCAGTATTACCTCCCCTGACACCTACTATGATGCTATCTGTGTTACAACCCCAGTGATCAGAAATCTTCCTTCCCGTTATTGACAGGAGCACACTGTTATATTGGGTACCTGTCCCCATTATGATTACCTCCCCTGGCACCTACTATGATGTTATCTGTGTTACAACCCCAGTGATCAGAAATCTTCCTTCACGTTATTGACAGGAGCACACTGTTATATTGGGTACCTGTCCCCGTCAGTATTACCTCCCCTGACACCTCCTATGATGTTATCTGTGTTACAACCCCAGTGATCAGAAATCTTCCTTCCCGTTATTGACAGGATCACACTGTTATCAATGTTTCTGTGTCTTTTGACATGTACACCGTACCTGTGTATACTGTAAAGGTTTATAGCTGTACTCGTGTGTTTATATTTCGATAGTATCCAACTCAGTGGTAATTTCATCTAGCTAGCGTGTGCGCCGGAGCGGATAAAACACATGGTGCTGTGCGGTGATTGGCTAGATAGGAACAGGTAGATTTATATTGTATGAGTAGGGACAGTGAGACTTGCTCTCTGTGTGACAGGATAGGGAATGTGACAGATCACAGGTACATAACTCTGTATATTGTATGGGTAGGGACGGGGAGACTCGCTCTCCGTGTGACAGGATAGGGAATGTGACAGATCACAGGTACATAACTCTGTATATTGTATGGGTAGGGACGGGGAGACTCGCTCTCCGTGTGACAGGATAGGGAATGTGACAGATCACAGGTACATAACTCTGTATATTGTATGGGTAGGGACGGGGAGACTCGCTCTCCGTGTGACAGGATAGGGAATGTGACAGATCACAGGTACATAACTCTGTATATTGTATGGGTAGGGACGGGGAGACTCGCTCTCCGTGTGACAGGATAGGGAATGTGACAGATCACAGGTACATAACTCTGTATATTGTATGGGTAGGGACGGGGAGACTCGCTCTCCGTGTGACAGGATAGGGAATGTGACAGATCACAGGTACATAACTCTGTATATTGTATGGGTAGGGACGGGGAGACTCGCTCTCCGTGTGACAGGATAGGGAATGTGACAGATCACAGGTACATAACTCTGTATATTGTATGGGTAGGGACGGGGAGACTCGCTCTCCGTGTGACAGGATAGGGAATGTGACAGATCACAGGTACATAACTCTGTATATTGTATGGGTAGGGACGGGGAGACTCGCTCTCCGTGTGACAGGATAGGGAATGTGACAGATCACAGGTACATAACTCTGTATATTGTATGGGTAGGGACGGGGAGACTCGCTCTCCGTGTGACAGGATAGGGAATGTGACAGATCACAGGTACATAACTCTGTATATTGTATGGGTAGGGACGGGGAGACTCGCTCTCCGTGTGACAGGATAGGGAATGTGACAGATCACAGGTACATAACTCTGTATATTGTATGGGTAGGGACGGGGAGACTCGCTCTCCGTGTGACAGGATAGGGAATGTGACAGATCACAGGTACATAACTCTGTATATTGTATGGGTAGGGACGGGGAGACTCGCTCTCCGTGTGACAGGATAGGGAATGTGACAGATCACAGGTACATAACTCTGTATATTGTATGGGTAGGGACGGGGAGACTCGCTCTCCGTGTGACAGGATAGGGAATGTGACAGATCACAGGTACATAACTCTGTATATTGTATGGGTAGGGACGGGGAGACTCGCTCTCCGTGTGACAGGATAGGGAATGTGACAGATCACAGGTACATAACTCTGTATATTGTATGGGTAGGGACGGGGAGACTCGCTCTCCGTGTGACAGGATAGGGAATGTGACAGATCACAGGTACATAACTCTGTATATTGTATGGGTAGGGACGGGGAGACTCGCTCTCCGTGTGACAGGATAGGGAATGTGACAGATCACAGGTACATAACTCTGTATATTGTATGGGTAGGGACGGGGAGACTCGCTCTCCGTGTGACAGGATAGGGAATGTGACAGATCACAGGTACATAACTCTGTATATTGTATGGGTAGGGACGGGGAGACTCGCTCTCCGTGTGACAGGATAGGGAATGTGACAGATCACAGGTACATAACTCTGTATATTGTATGGGTAGGGACGGGGAGACTCGCTCTCCGTGTGACAGGATAGGGAATGTGACAGATCACAGGTACATAACTCTGTATATTGTATGGGTAGGGACGGGGAGACTCGCTCTCCGTGTGACAGGATAGGGAATGTGACAGATCACAGGTACATAACTCTGTATATTGTATGGGTAGGGACGGGGAGACTCGCTCTCCGTGTGACAGGATAGGGAATGTGACAGATCACAGGTACATAACTCTGTATATTGTATGGGTAGGGACGGGGAGACTCGCTCTCCGTGTGACAGGATAGGGAATGTGACAGATCACAGGTACATAACTCTGTATATTGTATGGGTAGGGACGGGGAGACTCGCTCTCCGTGTGACAGGATAGGGAATGTGACAGATCACAGGTACATAACTCTGTATATTGTATGGGTAGGGACGGGGAGACTCGCTCTCCGTGTGACAGGATAGGGAATGTGACAGATCACAGGTACATAACTCTGTATATTGTATGGGTAGGGACGGGGAGACTCGCTCTCCGTGTGACAGGATAGGGAATGTGACAGATCACAGGTACATAACTCTGTATATTGTATGGGTAGGGACGGGGAGACTCGCTCTCCGTGTGACAGGATAGGGAATGTGACAGATCACAGGTACATTACTCTGTATATTGGATTGATAATACTTGTAGCCAGGCTGTGTTCTATATTTGTATGTGAATGTTATACATTAAACATGAGTGAAACGCTACCACGTATCTTTGTTGTTCACACCCGGCATTACAATCTGTCCATAGACATCGCTATAAAGTGTGAGGGTTAGCTTCATTGGATTATCATAATAATTTCTATAAGATAAGACTAGTTCATTCTATGACTGTAAAACACGAATACGCTTGACTTCATAAAGAAATCTTTGGTCCAGAAGTCATATTTTACATGGAGTTTTTCCAATATGCTGGATTATTTTGAACCATTCCTTAAAAGAAGTATTCTTTTTGAAAATAGAATTTTTATGTTTCAAAAATGCACAGAAATTCAAAGTGCTCTTTAAAAACCTTAACCTTATCAGTAATTGTCAGAGAAATTCAAATTACTGTTAATTCTACCTGATAATATAGAGTCTTGTGTTCTATTTTGACAGTCGTCAGGAGACCAGCTTATGAAAGACCCTGCGACAGAGGCGTTTGACATGGAGAACTTCCCTGTAACCAAAGTGTACCCCCACGGAGAATGGGTATGACCTCACACCATCTCCTTCGACTGCTGCATGGAATTTTGCCTGATTATCTCCCCTTGATTTGTGTTGTACTTATATTGTTATCCCACTGACTCATGAGAATGGACAATTGTCAAAATCTGCCAGATCAATAATACGACTATTGTAAATATATATTTATGCTAATTAAAGTTTTCATTAAATTATTAAGATATGATTCATCATTGATGGACTAATGATAACATCTGTGTGATATCACAGTACCTGAAAAATGTAACAAAAAATCAGTTCATTAATGATATTATGTCTCACAAACATCATTCATCGTAATTTTTCTCAAGACTCACGACCAGTAAGTTAACATGTTGAAGCCCTCCGTTAAAAAAAGTATGACTGACAATGGCATATCCAGGCCAAGGGTGTGTTATTGGTGGTAGGGTTGGGTTTCCTTATGAGCAAAGGTGGAAAACCATTGTTTAAATAGAGGACATTGACAGGCTTTGAGAGTTTTCTGAAGCACAGGAAAATACCATTGTTCTGCCACTGTGTCCCTTTGAAGGAAGCAGATATTGGCATCGATTTAAAATTTAAAATTTAAAAGTTTGCGTTTTAGTTCTGTTTTTACTCAAAAGCTTGACTAAAGAGAATTTAAAGTCCATTGAAGAAAGTATTTATCTTATAAATACTGTAACTTGCTCAAAACTTTGTGCTGGATAACAAATGCTAAAAGAGATTTTGAAACCCCTTAGCCTGGTTAAGAGGTTTGTTTTTGTTGATAAAATTAGCCTGCCAGATAAAGTTCAGGAATGTAATTTGATGTTATCTGCTGTTTTTGTCAGTTGTCAGTATTCTTACGGCATGTTATATTAGTTGTCATTGATGTTGTCTTGTTTATGAATGTTTGTTATATGGAATGCATTTTACGTAGAATAGATTTGTTACTTTTTTTGTATGGAAAACCAAACATGATTTGCCAAAAACTCTCATCATTGTAATGTTTGACTTGTATTAGTTTTATATGCAATAGACCTAAGAGATTAGTGTTGGCATACTTTAAAAGTTTAAACTGTTTTGACGCTTTAAAGATGCAACTTGAGTCTCTTTTAAAAGGTAACCGCTAAGTTAAATGCAGTTTCCGTTAAGGGAGACAACTTGTGAATGTGAACCGAATAATTAAATTTGTGTATAATTATTTATGTCCAAAAAGATATTTTTCCAAAATAAATAACCAAAACATATTCATTACACTTTGCTGGTACTAACTATGACTACAGTATCTGCAGGTAACGAGCTAAAAAATAGGATTCTAATTTCAATGTTAAATTTTTAAATGCTTTACAAAAATACCTGAAAGACCTACATCATTTTATATTTCATAGAGATTCAATTGTTTGTATAATAATGTTGACACAAAGGACAAATATGAGCTGTTGACATTATGGGCAATCTTACGCTAACTGACCCACTGATGTAATGTTAGAGCAACTTATTTTTTTTTCGTTTACAAAGCATGATTTTATTTCATCGTAGTGAAATTAACAACAATGCTTACGAATATTTTTATACAATTTTAACATCTCATTGTTTTTCAAACTGATAGAACAACGAAAGACATTTTTTCAAGGTGGTTTAAAACAAGAGGTTCCGTGTATTTTTATATTTTACTTAAAAGTACAAATAGGGGTTGATCAAAACATTTTAATTTAATTTATTTCAGATATGTGATATTACTTTTGGTGTATCAATTAGATTATGAAAAGTTGAATGTTTATGTTCTTTAAATCTACCTGTTAGTTTTTTTTGGGTTTTTTTGCACAATTTTTAAATTCAATAATGATTCCCTAACGACCTTATACGACAATATTCACCATGAATAATTGGCCAATATTAGTCAAACTGTCTGTCTCATATTATCCTTTTTCAGGGCTTATTTCATCATGTTTTAAAAAGTTTTAGTGCTCATTATATTAAAATTCTTAAAGTAAATAATGAAACACTTTGATTTATTGTCAGTGCTTTTCATATATAGCCAAACAAGTCATTGATTGCAATATACATCGTTTTATCTTTTTAATAATTAATGTGTTTTGTTTGCCTGTAATTTTACAAAGTAGGTGACAATGTACGTACCATACACATAAATAGTTATATACACACACATAGGATGATAGAGAAGTTAATTTCTAGATTACATGTTAAAGATTTACGATTAGCGTAATTTTTTTACAAGCCTCATATTAATTATATGTTCATTCAGCATTACACAATCCAGTATTAAGCACTCACAGTTTTAGGTGACCTTTTGACCTTTGTGGCGGTCTTGATTTGGGCTTTTAATGTCTCCGTAGGGTTTGTTATTTTACCATTCAGATTTTGCTAGCTAGCTCTTTGAGGATTAGGGATTGTAATTCCTCTTCATAAACGAAAAATTAAACACAGGTGACGAAGCTAAGAATTTCGACAGAAAACACTGTTACTGTTACATTAACAATAGTTATCCAATGGGTCTTGGAAATCATGAAATATGAATAAATCTCATATCATTTTACTTTCGTACGATGGTTGGGACAAATAAGGTTTATGTGTATTGAAGAATAATTTGGCTGTGAAAGTCCTTGACAACAATTTGATTTTTTTTGACTTTTGCCAATTTTTGAGCAACTTGGACCAGATATTTCAGTCATCAAATATACAACTCGAGTGGAACAATGTAAAATACGAAAAATAATAGGCTCTTCAAGAAAAGTAACCAACTGCAGGCTGAAACATTTGAAAATTGCTACTTAGGGGCCACTGCCAAAAACTAGAACTAAGCATATGAAACTGTTCATTCCGGCTTGACTATAGCTTTAGAGTAATAGTTTAGCAGTGTAAAGTGCAGGGTTTGATTCCGGGTCCAGGCCGGATGTGTCTTTTTACACTCAGAACTGTGTTGTTAAGTATCTCTGATTTATTTTATCTTGATCATTTCTCATAAATATCCCACAGGGTATGTTTTCTTTCCAGAAATAACTTATCATAGCTATACTAACAAACAGTTCGGATACTTAGTTACAGTTGTTGACAGTGTTACGGAGATCCGTGATACATTAGTTTGAGTTATTGTTTAAATAGTTTAGTCTTAATGACCACGTTATAAATCTATTTGAATGAAAAAGCATGTAAAGTAATTTGAATGAGTCGTCGCAAATTTTAGTATGTGATGATATCCTTATGTTTGTAATTTAGATTTGTATTGGCCTCGCATTTCAGCCATATCTGTATTATCTGCATGTAAGACTAGTATAGTTGTTGTTGTTGGCATGCTTTTAAGTTATTTTATATTATGTCAGTTCTGTTTTACAAAATTTCACTAACCTGGTATATTCCAATGGATGTAAGGGAAAGACTTATAGACTTGGACAGCAAGCCTATAGCTGTAATAGATAACTAAAGAAAGGGCTTTAATCAGTGGTGCCTTGTATCTCTGAGATATCAGTACATCAGTACATCAGTACTCATCTTGTTTATAGAATGGTTTTAGAAATCTTAAATGGCCACTGTGGCTATTGACCGACTAGAAAATTCCCCAACTTCTTATCAATAATCATTTCCTGACTCGGATGAAGTTAGACCTTTCTTTGGATACAATGCGGCAGCAAATGGCCACAGCATTGTTCAGAATTTAAGTATAAAAAGTATCCATAACTGTAGTAGGATGAAGCTATATTGAAGTATCATTACTAAGAGAAAGTCTGTAAAACTGAACTTGTACATAATACAATGTCGCTGTGTATTATATGTGTTTTGTTTTATGCCCGAGTTAGCGATACCACTGTGTAAAGGGAGATAACCAATGGTGAGAAAGCCACTGTAAATTATCGATACTGTATTGGAATGAATGCATGATCGTGTTGTATATATCACAGTATGAGTGTATGTGGATGTATTAATGTATTGTAATATGTTAATTAGTTCATCAATATGTAGCAGTTAGTTATATACATATGCTTATCGCATGTTATGCATCGAATATTTAGCAGCAAATTCTGTTAACTATTTATGAATCTTTTAATTTTTTGTAATTTTGGTTAATATTTTGTTTCCAGAGTAATTACTTCTAGGGAATTTACTGATTTTAAAACAGAAACTTCATAAGAATGTTATTCACCCTTGAAATATTGCAGTGGACATATGTATGTCTGAATGATCTTGTTATCTAATAGAGAAAAGGTTATGTTGACTATAAACCACAAGCTCATTAGCACATAACATAGTCAATCTTTTTATTGTACATATTTATGTTTTTATTCTTCATCTTGATCTCGTGGTTTTACCGTTTTTATCCAATAGTAAATCACTGTTTAGCTTATTATCTGTATGTGTCGAGTAAATGTTTATGATTTATCTAAACATTGGTAGTTTATATAAAATTGAAATTCCTGCTATTCGATTTATAGTTATGTTTTAGTGTTTAAACATTGTGGCATTAAGGATACATTGTCATTTGACATGTTGATATTAAACGTCAGTCAAGTGTAGGGTTAAAAATTAAAACAATTACATAAATGTTATCTCAAGGGTGATACTATTTCATCGAGATGAAATTTATTATTAGTCCTGCACCGGTACATTCTGTATTACCAAATGTAGGCTCGTACATCGTGTTTACGTTCGTGTGTCACTTTGATCGGGCTATCTCACATAGTCTCTGTCAAAATTTGTTTTCCAGTACATGATGGCAAAGTTTTGTATACTTAGTTCTCGTGTCCCACTAAATGTAGAGTTATGTCCCTTAGTTCACTCACGATAACCTTATCGGTGCACATCTCCTATACTCTGTCACCTACATTTGCCATATTTTTAATATCACAACAAATATTCATATCGAAAAAGGGTTTTGTGCCTCGCATAAAACTCTTGTGTAAACCCTACAGGACAGCTACATCCGAAATAACATCATCTGGTTTATGATGTTAGTTATTTTTCATCTAATTAAAATGAGTATGACAATAATAATAGTAATGCTATACAAGGTG